TTTTTGGCTGATTTGATTAATTCTGAACTGTTTGGAAATTTACTCGGAGGTAAAAACAGATTGAATTCCAAACAGCTAGTTTGGAAATTTGATTATTTGTTTCTCTCAATTCCATGTTTTCAAATCATCTTATCCAGATTCATAGCTTTTTTTCAGGATTTGTTTTTAACTCATCTGTATCGGAAGCTTTTTTTCTCTGCAAGTTTTCTTAAAAGATTTGTGCATTTTGGGAAAGGTCTAAGGGAAAAAATACGCATAGGCTATGTTGCTCCTTGTTTGGCTTAGTGTTTGAGTTCTCCAAATACATGGAAATCTTGGAAAAAGATTAGGACACGTGTATGTATCGGATACTTGAAAAACATAGCAAATAAGTCTACCATGAAAACGATGGGAAGAGTGGACGGCTAAAGACCCTAGCTAGCTAGCGATAAACAATGTCATGATTGAGTTTCAATCTATTTTCAGACTTGGATACAAATAAACCATGTTTAACACTAAATTCAAGTTGATTTGATCATTATTGCTCTTCCATGGAACTTAACAATATGAGCTGGGAAGTCGGATTGAATATCTATGATCGTTTTTTCACTATTCATTCATTGCCGATGCCAATGTCATCTTAGATCAAATTTAGATCGAAATTCTTTGATTTCATTTTTTGGTAGTTAGCAGATCAACTTCTTGTTAATTTCCTAAAAACTCAGTATATGAAAATTTTCCATAGATTCCTTTTGTTTGTTAAACTTTGTAGTTTTTAGTAATGTGAAAGGCTTATCTATTAGATTTTGTAATCATCTTCTCTGTTTCTTACCACATGTTTGCTGTATACCTGTCCATTGTACTAATGATCATAGATGTTCATGTGTTGTTCCTTTCAGACTTACACCAAAGCTGCCTCCATTTCGAATCAGCCTCCATTTTCGAATCAAGAAGCGGAATCTCAGTTTGTATCTTCAAGAAGGATGGATATCTATGATCCTATCCAACAGATTGGCATGTGGGAGAAAATTTCAACACGGATAGCAATCTGCATGCATCTGTATCAATGATTCTCGAAATGGATAACAAGATACCGAACAAGGTGCGAGTTTCGGACATATTGTTCTTTGATTAATCGTTTATCTGATTTTGGTCGTAAGTAACCTTTGTTATTTGAATTTAGTCTGAAACTACTTCACATGAAATGCTTGCACCTTCTATCAAGTATGATCAAGAAGCCACTAAACCTATTGAGAAGGTAATTTTGAATGGTACATGGTGCTGGTTCTTCATTTCTTTTCTCATTTTAATGGATAAAGTATTGTCCTGGATCACATGCTGTATGGTATTAAATATGTTGTATCAATTGGTTTGTTGAAACTATGTTGCTTTGACTCTTTATTTTTCTTAAAGTACCGTGTTTGACACATATTCGAACATAGTTATGGGATAGATTGAACATATCCTTGGACACCTGCCCTTTTCCGACACACATTTGAGTCCAAGTAGCATAATTGAGAGATTCTATCTTGGAATTTGAAAAGATGTTACTACTTTATCTTCTAGACTTCTAGAGTCCATTCCTTCTTCCTAGATCGTGCGAAGGTCGAAATCTGAGGCAGTTTGCAAATAAGGAAAATGTATTGCATATATCGTAGATGTTACTTCTTGAAGTTCACTACATGAAATAAGCGGATTGAAATCCAAACTACCACTGATTCCAATTTCACTTGTGCAAATTGCAGAAAGTTCAATATCTTTTGGAGCTATTAAGCTGATCTTTCCTGCTAAAATCGTGAAAATTATTGAAGATAAATTTAGGAACAGTGAGAAATAATTCGTTTAATATAAGGAAGAAAAATATGCATGCACAGTTGCACACCATTATTGTAGCCCATGATTACTGAAACAGTATAATCTCCTAATATTGTTCTGTTTTGAACATTTTTTTCCAGAGCGTTATGATTTAGCTGCAACGTGCCTAAACATATATTGCTTGTAGATTATCTGTTTACCGTTGATAAAAGGCCTAATTTCTTTGGTCATTTCACTGTAAATATCTTTAGATACAAAGGCGGCTTGCGCAAAACCGTGAGGCTGCTCGTAAAAGCCGATTGCGGAAAAAGGTAAGATAAGATATGTCATGAATAGCAACAGATAGCCCACAAGACCACATGTAAATTGTTGTAATCAACTTCATGTAACATTGCATTTCAGGCTTATGTTCAACAGTTGGAAAATAGTCGTTTAAAGCTGATTCAATTGGAGCAAGAGCTTGCACAAATGAAGCAACAGGTTTTGAATGAGATTAAAATCAATTCCTTTTTTTTCATTTAAAATTTTCTTAAAGCCATTTTAAGCAATGAAATCTTAAAATTGCAGGGTGTTTATATGGGTGGGGGGTTAGTAGATGGTCACCTTGGATTCCCTGTACCGGCAAACTCAGGTTTGTTTGTAAAATACACTGGCAATTAACATTATTAATTGTTTACTATGTTATACTCGAACCCGGGTATGATTGTCGGATATAATACGTGCTCGATAAAAGTTTGTTCAACTATTTCCTAAGTTTTTTACGAATTTGAAGTCTTTTGAGGATCATATCCTCATTTATACTCGTATTGAAATATGCCTCGAACATAAATTCCAAATATGAATACTTCCAAGAAATATAGAAGTCAGACCAACCCAAGTTGTCTCGGTATGTGTGACATTTCAAACTGTATGAATGCTTGTTCTTTGAGACTAAAATTTCTTGCTTTTATTTTTGTGGTTAGATTGATATTTCACCACTAGCCATGTGTTAAAGACAATAATGCATGAATTTAGTATTTGATATTAATTACTAATTCGTTGTCGATATTCATCTGAACCTGAGTAGCATATGTCACTTTAATGCAGTTGATGTTGTGTTATATATGGTTCTTTTTCTTCTTCTCATTTTAAGCGAATCTATATTCTTTTATGTTTTTTATGACTTCTTCATTTTGGGGATTCTGCAGGGATTGTTGCCTTTGAGACAGAATACGGACATTGGATGGACGAACAAAGAAAACAAATATGTGCTCTGAGGACTGCTTTGAATGCCCATACAAGTGATGCAGATCTTGGAATGCTTGTGGAAACTGGCATGAATCATTATTCTGAACTTTTTCGCATGAAAACAACTGCTGCAAAGATTGATGTTTTCTATGTCATGTCTGGCATGTGGAAAACATCAGCAGAGCAATTTTTCTCATGGATTGGAGGGTTTCGCCCTTCAGAACTTCTCAAGGTGATTCATATCGACTTTTTATTTTTCCTTAAGTATCTGTATTTAGTACCCTTTATGAGGCCTGTTCCAAAATAAGTATGGGCATATAACCCTCTAAATACTTTAAAACTTAAAAATACTGAAGATACTATCATCTTAATATATCCGTATCCGACACACCTGAGTTCGAGAAACATAGTACTTAGTTTCCATGCAATAGTATTGTAGATTTCTTGCGACTTTCATTGGAATTCTGGTCAAGTTCTATTGAGTAATATTTGCTTGTTCTGTTGATTTATAGGTGCTCTTGCCTCAGCTTGATTCCTTGACAGAACAACAATTCTTTGAGGTCTGTAACTTGAAACAATCATGTCAGCAAGCTGAAGATGCACTTTCACAAGGCATGGAGAAACTGCGCGAACTTGTGTCGGTGACCGTGGCGGATGGTCAACTGGGCGAAGGTAGTTATAGTTCTCAGGTGAATACTGCAATGGAGAAGATAGAAGCTCTAGTCAGCTTTGTGAGCCAGGTAAACAATTGCTCATCCCATGTTCTAGACTTATAATTTCTGTTGAAGTACACTGTTTGAAGTACTAGTGTCTGATCCTCATCAAATTATTAATGAGTTTATTGTTGTGGTGCACCAATTTTTGATGTTTCTTAAAATACTCGTGTTTGACACATATTTAGATATAGATACGACGATGCAACTCTTCAAGGACCTCAACACCGGTGTTCAGCCACACATCCGTACTAACAATGGTGTTTTCTTTTGCAGGCAGACCACATTCGGCAGGAAACACTGCAGCAGATGTCCCGAATCCTAACAGTTCGCCAGACAGCTCGAGGCTTACTTGCTTTGGGCGACTACTTCGAACGTCTTCGAGCTTTGAGCACACTATGGTCTACCTGTCCTCGTGAACCTGCATAGCCTAGAACGGTTGAAGATCCTGCAAACATGATGTTTGCTATTGCTGCAACAAAGCATGTTCCTTCATACAACGGTGTCTCTTGGTAAATGTCATTATGAACATAATTGCCTACATTTTTTTTGAAGCAGAACAGAGGTCTGAGATGAAGTACATAGTAGTTTATTTTACATTGGGGAAGATGTTTATCTAATCAATTTTCACTGATGTGTTGTGCATCATATGTACTCTTGAAAGATATAAATATAGGATCTACATTTGAGTGATATATTACGTTATCCAGACTTTTTCATTTTTGTAGAAAGTGTTAGGCCTCATATTGGGATGCGAGTACGAGAGAGATTATCCTCTATAATATATAAAATAAAGTTTTCAAAATTTGAGTATACTCATAATGAATGTGTATTCGACACACCCGAATCAGAATAACAAAGTTGCATGATGAACATGGTGAATGCATAACTGTGAAACTTGCTCATCTTTTGGAACATTCGCATTGTGTTATCAAAGCTTCACTTACCTTTGCTTCTTTGTTTCGTTATTGCTTGGTTGCAGGTTCAATGCCAACGGTTTTCTCCGGTGGCCCGAGATGGACAGTCCCCCAGCTCTGGCGTCTTGTATAGACGGCATTGCCAGCTTCTCTTTTTTATTTCCTATGCGCTTTTTGCATATTGCTTTTTTAGAGCTGTAATTTTGTATGTTCTATTTCTTAGTCGGTTCTGATTACAAGCAACTATTCGCTTGCAAATCGAACTCATCCAAACCCATACAACACAGCCTTTCTGTTTGTCATCTCCAACTACAGTGACTAGCTCATCGAAAAAGAACGAGAATCAAACCAACAAATCCAAATACACACAAATATACTTCACAACATTAAAAAGATAATTATGCTGGACCTTAATGATCCTTTGACACATCCAAATGCAGAGAGTATGCGGTTTAATTATTAGTATTGTTTTTAAACAGAAGATCACGCTTTAACTTGGATGCCTAAGGATCGAGAAGTTACGTCAGCGTTTCTGCTCACAACTTTGACATTGCATAATCCAAAGCATCAACAAGAAAATCTGCACAAGTACAAAACATGTAACTGAAAACGTGGTTCACTTTTTATTGGGTAAATGAGATTAATTGATCTTAATTGGGCAAAGCTCACGCTTTAAAAGTGAAACACGGTGCTTTGCGTCTCAAATTTCAAGTCAAGCTTTAACTCGGCTCGGTTTGACTATACCCCCATTGGAAACCTATCTGTTGAGTGTCGGTCCCTTTTGGAAACTGTTTGTTGAGTTTGGCAATAAAATCAATAGAGAAAGAGAAAGACCTACCCGCATCATCTTTGGTGAAACACATTGGCGGCTTTATTCTGAAAACATTTCCGCGTAGCCCACCTTTACCGAGTAAAACTCCGAGTTCTTCAATTAGAAACGAGAACAGTTACATAAATTTCTAAACGGTGAAGCAAGAGAAAGCCTATACGCTTATTATCCTATAGGGCCGAACAGGTCGATGCGATCATCTTATACATCCCTATGCCCTCCCCTGTGGCAATGTGGGGTTGTACAAATGAAAAGAAAGGGATATGATTTCTCTAGATGTTAGTTTAGAAGAAAGTAATACGAAATGCCTTTATTTTCTTATTTTCTATTTGAAAATTTATTCCTTAACACCTCTCATTTTCTCAAACAGGATGGCAGTTCCTTCCTTGGCCGGTGTCTTCTCTCCTCTCAGTAACGAGTTCTACGCCCACCATTAATCCCCTGCCTCTGACATCACCGATGACCGAAAAGGGAGGAGTTAGTAAAAACAAAAAGTGAACTCGGTTTCCTTGATAGCACTAACTTGACATTGGAAAAGAACACGAACAAATATAAACTCAAGTTAGAACTTTGTATTCCAAAAACCACTTGTTAAACCAAAAAGGACCATTTTAATGCAATTCCTTGTGTCCAAGAACTGAATAATTTTCTGTTCAATGCAATTTAAAATTGCAAAAGAATGGTTGGTGAAATTGGCAATAATACTGTATTTAGAAACGATGCAAAGCAAAGGGGATTTAAAAGTGCTAAATGGTAGAATAATTACTATCATGTTCGTCCTGTAAAGATCTCAAGCGTCCAATCAAGTGAGAACCAACATCAGCACAATGTGCTTGACGCTCCTTGTCTATCACTCTGAGCACTGCAAGCCCACCAGCAGAACATCCAGGATTTCCACCAAAAGTGTTAAATTGAATTTTTTGAGCCATCACACTCGCTATTTCTGGTGTTGTCACCACTGCCCCCAATGGTAATCCGTTGCCAATACCCTAGCAAACATGACATGTTGTGTAACAGGATGCTACCATTCCTAATAGTAATAACAGAAGATAGCTAAACCAAATGAGCATTTAAGTTCCAATGTTCAGAGAATTTAGTATAAGCAGCAAAGTTTGATGACAAAAGACCTTTGCCATGGTAACTATGTCAGGAATGACACCTTGAGTCTCGAAACCCCAATAATGGCTTCCTGTGCGACCAAATCCTGTTTGTACTTCATCTGCAATGCAGACACCACCAGCCTTGCGTACGATGTCATAAACCTGTTTCAAGTATCCTGGGGCTAGTTCAACTGCTCCTCCAACTCCCTAATGTTAAAAAATTTGAAATTTTCAGGACAAGTTTTATTGTGAAAAAAAATAAAAAAAAAGGAAAAAAAAAAAACCTCAAGAAGACGGTTATCAATTTAACCTGAATGGTTTCTGCTATAAACCCAACAACTTTTCTTGAATACCATACGCGATGTGATCTTGTACTTCTTTGGCATAACGAGTAGCATCAGGGCCAAAGACTCCACGAAAAGGACCTGGATTCATGACATGATGGATTTCACCCTGTCACATGCCATTAGAACATTTGAAAATCAGCATTTTAGTTTGAAATATTGGATAAATCAAGTTTGAACTTTAGAAATGAGGCACGATCTAGCCCTAGTTGAATTTCAAACCTTAGATTCCAAATCAAGCTCAAATTTCCTATAATTTGAGCTCGTTTGACCCAGTTTCAACCCCTACCTACTACTGGGCATGATGAATGGCCTTCCTAACATTGCAAAACTACACCAATTTCCAAGTACCAATTTTTTTTGATGTCATTGACAAAAAATGATATCCTTGTTACGCATAATCCAAGTCATAATTAATTCAAAACAAATCATCAAAGAACTAGTATATAGTTGTAAAGGGAATTTTATTGATTGCACAGCTAAAATTGTTAAGATAAAGTCTGAGTTACGAGTTCAAGGCTTGGAAACTAAGGCAAGTGCATTGTTGATGAAAAATACAGGATAAATAAATGGAAAAGGCTATATACACTCATCTAATACACGCAGTTGACAAATTCTTTAGTACATGCATTACAACGTTTTCTATTATAGACCCAAAACAATTTTAATACTTTTGTTCCCTTAGAATAAAGAAATAGATACATGTGAGAGCATCATTTTAAAGCAATATTTAGTGCATGTAGTACTATCCAATAATAAAAAACAATTACTCCACTCCATGGGATAAAATTGTGAGCTGGATACCCATCAATAAACGTTGCTTCACTCTTTCATATAAACATTAAAATATCGTGTTTTCCTTTTCAAAAAAATGCATTCTATACAATAATAAAAAGGAGCAATCTCGAGTGGTTGAAAAAGTTGCTCCCTAATCATAATTGCATCAAACATATCATGTGATGACAAATATAACATCTAAGTTTTGAATGCATCACATATGAGATAAGATTAAATCATCTAATCCTATCTACATTCTTATCTTATGCAGTTATACTATCCTTTAGAACAGCATATCAAATCCATAGTTCAACATCATATTGAGCTAACAAGCAATTAGAAAAGGGGAACATCTAAGTTATTCAATTATTTGAATGACAGCACATCACTTCAAGTTAAAAAAAAATTAAGTTTAATGTCAATGGCTACTAAAACAGAATTTAAACTTGAATTTGTGATACAGTGCCAAGAAATGTATATAAGAAATACTACAACATGATAAGTATCTGAACCTATGGTATTGGGTACTTTCACATGTTTAGCGCTGTGAGTCTAATATGTTAAAAGTCAATTTTGGTGGCCAATAATTGTTGAAATTTAAGCAATTCTTGGTGGCTTTCGGTGGTGCATTAAATGCACCGAAATATTGGAAGAAAGGCACAACAACTTTTGTTGAAATTTGCTAAAGGGATAATTGAATTTAGTCTCTGCACTTTAGGGTATTTACAAGATTAATTCTTAAGCTTCAACTATAAATACCCTATCTCATTTAGCTTCAAAACCATCCCAAATCATTTTAGCTTTCTCCCAATACTAGAAAATTTAGAGAGTTTTCTTGAGAGTGTTTTTCCTTTTTATCAAGAGAGAATTGTTATTGTTTTCTCCTTGTTATATCGAGAGAAGTGTAATTCCTATTTCTCATAGTGAAATTCTTCTATCATTGCTCGTGGTTTTACCCTATATTATTTAGGGGTTTTCCACGTAAAATTTGTGTCTCTTTATCTTCATTTTTATTTTCTCAAATTATCAGTTGCGATTTTGCTCTATCCGATAGCCGTATTCCGCAACAATTGGCATCATAGCCAGATTAAAGTGTGTAATATCTACTTATTGTCTTTGTGGTTCCCACCAAAAGTGAATCATCCAACATAAGAAAGTAAGAAGGTTAATCATTCTTTGAAGGTTCAAGAGAACTATTCACGATAGTGAAATCGTGGAGCTATCTGTAATAGAAGATATGACAACGAAATTTGATATTGAAAAGTTCAATGGGAGAAATTTTTCATTGTGGAATTGAAGATGAAGGTCATCCTGATAAAAGATAGTTATAGCGGTTATAAGTGAAAGGCCGGTAAATTTCACAGATGACAACAAATAGAACGAGATAGACGGGAATGCTATGACAAACCTTCATCTATCATTAGCAGATGAAGTATCGTCAAGCATTGAGGAGAAGAAGACAGCTAAGGAGATATGGGATAAAAAAAACTCAGGAAATGCAAATTCTTGGAGTATGCTGATGGAGTAAAGGGGTATAGCTTGTGGGATCCACTGCTCGCAAAGTGATCATCAGCAGGGATGTTATCTTTGTAGAAGATAAGCTACAAAGAAAAGAAGACAATGATAGAGCTAAAAAGTCAGAGACTACACAGATACATGTGAAAAGGAGAGTTTAAACAAGGAGATTCTTCTGAAGCAGAACCAACACATGATGAACAAGAACCAGAGAATTCTGAAGCTCCAAAAACTCGTCAATCAGATCGTGTGAGAAGACGTCCCAATTGGCACTCAGATTATGTTATAGAAGGAAATTGCATATTGTCTTTAAACATAGGACGGTGAGCAATCAAATATTAGGAGACATAAACAACTCAGATACTTCACTGTGGATGATGGTGATGCAAGAAGAAATCGAAGCCCTTCATAAAAATAATACATGGGACCTTGTGCCACTACCACAAGGAAGGAAGCCAATTGGTAATAATTGGGTCTTCAAAATCAAGTGAAATGATGATGATCAAGTTGAGGTATCGTGCAAGACTGGTGGTCAAAGGATATGCTCAAAAAGAAGGTATTGATTTCAATGAATATTTTCTCATGTGGTTCGACTAACAACAATTCGAGTAGTCTTGGCAATGTGTGCTACATTGAACTTACATCTAGAGCAGCTAGATGTTAAAACAGTTTTCTTCATGAAAATTGAAGAAGATATTACATGCTCCAGCCTGAAGGTTTGAAGAAGAAGAAAAGAAGAACTTGGTTTGCAGGTTGAATAAATCTCTGTACGGTCTAAAGCATGTGTCGAGGTGTTGGTATAAGAGATTTGATTCCTTCATTATGTGCCTTGGATACAACAGACTTAATGCAGAATCTTGTGCTTATTTCAAGAGGTTTGGTGATAATGATTTTGTTATATTACTGTTGTATGAGGATGACATGTTGGTTGCAGGACCCAAACAAAGATCATATTGAAGAATCGAAGGCACAACTGGCTAGGGAATTTGAAATGAAGGACTTGGGATCAGCAAACAAGATTCTAGGGATGCAAATTCACCGAGACAGAAGTAATAGGAAGATATGGCTTTCACAAAAGAATTACTTGAAGAAAATCTTGTCACGATTCAACATTTAAGAGATTGTAAGCCAATTTCTACCCCTCTTCCTATTAACTCAAATTATCCTCCAGTATGAGTCTAGCAGTGAAGAAGAGAGGACAGAGATGTCTCGAGTGTCGTATGCATCGGAAGTGGGAAGTTTAATGTTCGCTATGATATGCACAAGACCGGACATTGCACAAGCAGTGGGAGTGGTTAAACGATATGGAGAATCCAGACAAAGAGCATTGGAATACATTAAAGAGGATCCTGAGATACATAAAAGAGACTTCAAATATTGCATTATGTTACGGGGGATCAAATTTACTTATCAATGTGTTGATTCTGCTATGCAGGAGATTTGGATAAAAACAATCTACTACAGGATATGTGTTTAAAATTGCTCGTGGAGCTGTAAGTTGGGTTTCAAAATTACAGTCAGTTATGGCTACATCCACAACAGAGACAGAATATGTAACAGATACACAAGCCAGTAAAGAAGCAATTTGGTTGAAGAGCTATTGGAGGAGCTTGGGCACAATCAAGAGTATGTCTATCTGTTTTGTGACAGTTAAAGTGTCTTGCATCTAGCAAGGAATCTAGCATTTCATTCAAGGACAAAGCACATACAAGTTCAGTATCATTTCATTCGTGAAAAGGTGGAAGAAATGACGATAGATATGCAGAAGATCCATACCAAAGATAACATAGCAGATTTCATGACGAAGGCGATCAATGCTGATAAATTTACCTGGTGTCGATCCTCCTATGGCATGTCAGAAACGTAAGCAACATGAAGACACAAGATAGAAAGAATGGTGTGAAGAAATGATTGTTCCAATCAAATCTTCAAATGAGAGATTGTTAAAAGTCAATTTTGGTGGCCAATAATTGTTGAAATTTAAACAATTCTTGGGGGCTTTCGGTGGTGCATTCAATGCACCGAAATATTGGAAGAAAGGCACAACTTTGTTGAAATTTACTAAAGGGATAATTACAATTTAGTCCATGCATTTTAGGGTATTTACAAGATTAGTCCTTAAGCTTCAACTATAAATACCCTATTTCACTTAGCTTCAAAACTATCCTAAATCATTCTAGCTTTCTCCCAATACTAGAGAATTTAGAGAGTTTTCTTGAGAGTTGTTTTCTCTTTTTTATCAAGAGAGAATGTTATTGTTTCTCCTTGTTATATCGAGAGATGTTGTAATTCCTATTTTCTCATAGCGAAATTCTTCTATCATTGCCCGTGGTTTTTACCCTATATTATTTAGGGGTTTTCCACGTAAAATTTGTGTCTTCTTTATCTTCAATTTTTTTTCTCAAATTATCAGTTACGATTTTACTCTATCCGATAGTCATATTCTGCAACACAATAGTATTAGAACTGTAAACATCCTCAATATCGGGTTAGTGAGCAAATTGTAAAATTTCAGAATTTGGTGATTACAGTAGAATAGTTCAATGATTTATTTGAAAATATTTCCTGAAAGTTGTTATTAATTATCAAAAGAATTAAAGGAAAAAAATGGTCTTTTTATCTAAAAGATAACTATCTTATCTCTTTATTAAGAGATAACTATCTATCTCTTTATTAAGAGATAACTATATTATTTATTAAGAGATAACTATCTTATCTCTTTATTAAGAGATAAGCAGGTGAGGAGAGTTATCTGAAAAACTTTTC